CCCCTCCAAATCCCCCTGCCCCCCTCCCACAGCCATCTTCTTTCTGTTTTTTTTTTTGTTTTTTTTTTTATTACAAGGATAGTTGACCACAGTAACCAAGAAAAGATAGCGAGGCTGGGATCCCCACAGTGAGGCTGGGATCCCTCTCAATACTGCAAAGTTGTGCAAACAGCGTCTAGGTGGACTGATCTGACGGGAAACCTTACCCTCCATGACCTTCCTTCCTCATTTAGGTTTTCAATCACTGCCAACTTTTCAGACAATCTCGAGCAGACTCGGATGCGTTTTTCTGACTCGTATATTATGTGCACATTGCAGACGACTGTCACGACAGCCAGCATAAGCTGGAACGATCATCATGGAGAGAGAGAGGAGAGAATCCTCGTCTTTTTTTCTTTTCTTTTTTTTTCCACATAAGAGCTCCTTATGGCCCTGGCTCTCCATATCCATTCTGGAGAGCTTCAGTCCGGTTCCTATTCATTCCCCCGGCAAATCAAAATAGTAAGATACATCAACTACACACACACAAACTAGTAACTAGTAGCAAGATACATCAAGCATACACACACAAAATAGTAAGATACAACAATTATATACACAAATGCATACTACACTTTGCGAGGAGCGGCTACGGTACACACCTCTTCCGTTCTCTCCTTCATCTCTGTGAGCAGCAACTTCTCTTCTGCAGCAGCTTCTTCGACTTCAGCCACAACTCGCTGAACCCTCTCCAAGATCTGACAATATATTTGAACAAAAGCCATCAAAACCATCACAACATCGAGTCACAAAACAGGGGTGGCCGGAGGGAATGTGAACGTGAACTCTTCGAGGAGAGAGTGGAGCCGACGATTCTAGGATGCAGTGCGTCGTGATTGACCGTTGCAACAAATGAGACATCAGTCAGCAAATGGCAATTATCACAATTATTGAATTATCAATTTATCACATGTATATCACAGGTTTCTCAGATCAGATTCATCATTAGAGTGCATTGACTGAAAGTGCGGTGTAACACACGCACTGTGATGGGGACGGTTTCCACACAAATCCTCTCAACAGGTCTTCTGCCTGAGAAGCAAGGCAAAGAGGAGGAGGATGAAGAGCTCCCCACTCAAAGAGCGCTTGTTGCCCACCAGTGGTAATCAACTCATGAGTTGTCAGTCAACAGGAGAAGAGAGCTGCAGCAGAGAGGACCCGGACCAGAGCAGGAACAAGAGCAAGAGGAGGAAAATGGCAAGGAGAAGGGCTAAGAATGTAGGCTGTTTTCCTGGGCGCTGGGGCAACCAACTTGTGCCGCGACAGACGCCCGCGTGCCCGACCGGGAATGAATCCCGGGCAGGGTTCCAGGCAGTCCCAGCGCACACACACACAAAAAAAAAAAAAAGGTCATGTAAGAATTGCAATACAAAGTTACGAACGACTTTTGGCTGAGGATCATATTAGAATTCCAATGGGTTTCAAGTCCGATAGTGAGCACCAAAAAAAAATAAAAAAAATTCCACACGGGTGACGGGTCTGAAGATTGAAAGAAACAACAACAGCAGAGAATCCGGCTAAGGGACTCCCTTTAGACCCCTTAAGCCCCTTGAAAACCAATTTGTACTCCTCCCCCTTGACAGCCAAGACTCAAAAAGAGAAAGAAGCCCGGATTTGAGCTCTTCAGGGCATGCGCAGAACAACCCCCCCAACCCCCCCAACCCCCCCCCCCCCCCCCCTTCCCCCTGCGCCCATCAGAAAAAAAAGAGAGAAATAGGGCTGATTTTTGCCTGCATGGGGTGCCATGTGTAGGTGATGACCCCTGGGCGACTTGCCCGGGGTGCATGGCTGGGCGAGCCAAGTAGCCTAGC